GCAAACTGCAGGTAGTGATACATGGTGGCCACGAACTTCTCCACGAAGTAGCCACCCACGTTGGGGGTCAAGTTGGCCTCACAGTCCACCTTGCACTGCAGAGATTCTGCAAAAATATCTGGGTGGCGGGGTGGGGGCGGGGGGAAGCAGGGGTGAGAAGCTGGGGGTGTGCTGAACAGCTCCGTTCCCGGAGCGGGTGATGGAGAGGACGCCCGCCCGCCCCAGCTCTGCCTGCAGAGCCTGCTGCAGCCACGTGAGAGGTGGCGGCTGGGGATAAGCAATGCTGAGGGAGACGACTGTGGCCAGGGCGGACTTACCGCCCACCGCTTGGCTCTCTGGGAGAGTGGCAGGTGAGGTGTGGAAGCGGTCCTGACGCCCCGATTGAAAAGCTCAGGACAGCCCTGAGGGACCCTGAGGGACTTCAGACTCGGTGTGATTTCTGGCCACAAACTGCTTTTGGGACATCCGTGTGGGGCTGTTTCCCATCTCGGCGGGGACACCTTTGCACCTGCATTGACCTCTACCTGGAAAGCCTGTGACCCCCATCCCAGACCCTCCTGGGATGTCACCGCCTCCCTCCACCGGCGCCCAGCACCTTGGGCGCTCCAGACTGCAGCCCTTCGGCACCCAGCGGCAGGGGACCCCTTACCCTGTCCGCCTCTCTCAGCTGGCAGCACACTCCACACTCCCAGGGACAGGATATAACACTGACCACCTCCCCAGCACGGAGTAGGGGCTCCATGAATGTGTTCAGGGGTCTGAGTTGTTCTGGGCCCAGCGGCGGCTGGGAAGGACGCCCACGGGTTTGGGAGGGGGTACCTGCTATGGCAGGGTAGAAGTCCTTGAAGTCCACCTGCTCGTGGGCCCCCTCGCAGCCAGCCAGACACCGTGCAAAGGTAGCCAGGTACTCGGCCAGGGCCCGCTCCATGTCCTCGGTGCTGCTGCGGAAGTCCCCGCTGTTGTAGAGCTTCACCGCCCGGAGGAACACGGCCTGGAGGGGAGCGAGGTGAGGGTCAGGGGGGCCCCCACACAC